TCCAGAATCTATATACGTAGGGAAAATGTATTATAAGAATATATGCATCATGTTCTATATACGGTGGTCCTGCTATCAAGCGCTCTGACGGTTATAACTTCATGACATTTACTAATAGGCAGAAGCACGATGCGGTCGCGGTTTTCCAGAGATACGCATTTTTCGCACCATGAGCTTCTATTGTGTTAACTATGATTGTTCGACGCGTAAATAAACAAGTACCCATCTGAGCTTTGTGCCGTAAATAAGCGACTGCATGCGGTAATATCAAGATGAGAATAAATGAGGATGGGAAGCGTTGCCTCACTATTAACGCATGTTTTTCCATCGGCAAAGTCAAGCTTGTAGGCGCGCTATCGTTACCATTGTATCAAGAGCTAATAATACTAGAGCTAATTAAGCTAATCAAAAGCTAATCATAGTAGAGGTAATATTAGCTCTTGGATGTATGTATACGCGCCAGCACGTGTCGCGCGAGTATAATAGTCGTGCTACTGCAAAAACTATACGCGCATTGATACGGCGGGATTTAGTCGCGCTTTTCTCTTCCTACTTCTTCTTCGAACGTTTCACCAAGAAAATAGTTCCACGTGTTTTCAACTGTAAATTTACATAGTTGCGTTATTTTAATTTGTAAAAAAAAGCCGGTGAAGTTTCCAATTAAATTACAAGTTGCAGTGAATGAATGATTAAGTGTTGGTCTCGTGTGCGTGTAAAGAGTACTAAATGTAACATTGCAATAGTTTTATAGCAATATAAAGAACTATTATTATACCCACATAACATTGAACAGTTTACGAATGTAATTGTGGCTATAGTTGGGTATTTTATAGGCAGACTGAAACAAAATACGTTAGGATGCACGTGTGCGCTTTAGTATTGGTGTTAGTGTATAATTGGTGCGTATATGTGCGTGCGTGTGTGCGTTCGTGGATGCGTGCGTGCGCGTATGTTCGTGGGTGTATGGGGTAGGCCGTTTGTAACAGAATGATTTAATATTGTATAAGTTGGTAAATGATATGGCAAAATAGAGAGGGTGAATGAGTGAGTGAGTGAGTGAGTGAGTGAGTGAGTGAGTGAGTGAGTGAGTGAGTGAGTGAGTGAGTGAGTGAGTGAGTGAAGGAGTGAGTGAAGGAGTGAGTGA